TAGTTGCTTCTTTCTTTCAATCCCCACGAGCTCATCTTCCTTAATAAAGAGAGAAGATTCCGCTTGGTTCCGCATCCCTTTGCCTACATCATCACAAGTACTGCTTGTTCCTTCTAATCCACCGACACTGTATCTCTGATTCCTCTCCGGAATGGCTTTAATCATTCTTGAGATTTTCCGCAACTTCTTTGACATTTGACGTCTGAACCAAACATTCTGTGGAATGCGAATAGTTTGGTGGAGCCACCGTGCAACTCGGCCCTTATGACATCCTTGCTCATACATGTGATACATGAACTCGTCAATGATGTCTTCAACATCATAGGCCATGCCTCTGACGCTTGCAACCCACATCCTCCCTCCTTCGCTGCGTACATTCTTGCCCTCAGCATCATTTAGGAAGGCCGTCATGCTTACAAGCTCCTGCTTGATGTCATCAATTTCATCACGAACACCGCCTATGGAGGATGCTTCTTTCTCAAGAATGGTCACAATTTTGCCGATCAAGAAGTCTGTTGGTATGGCCATATTAGCCTTGTATCCAAACTAGTTGCTCACAATGGAAGAACGAATTTGAGTATAGAAAAGGTTGAAAGATGAGCCAAATGAATCAAGTGACGATTTCAGCTGGCAGTGGCAGTTCCTCCAATGTGCAAGAAATTTCAGTGATTTGAAAATGGAAAATGATATCTGAATTTGCAAATACGTAACAGACTGAGACAAAGATGTCTTTGTGTGAAGATGGAAAGACTGGTCTTCTTTGTGCATCTGCTGGTTGCATATGCAATAATGTTGGAGATCGAAGGAGGTTGTGTTGTTTGCCGATGGGGTTGTTGTTTGTACTCCAGCTTGGCTGATTAAAAAATTCCTATAGCGTTTACTGCTGAAAGTCTTTAATTTTTATCATCAAGAGTGAGTTGTATGTTGACTTTGAATATTATGCACGATTTCTTTTATGCTCGATTGCTGACTTTTAATTCATTCACTTTGCTCATTTTGTTTGCTTCTTGATAAATTATTAAACTCTCATGTTATTTATCTATCTGGTAGCAAATGTTGAAAAAGTCTTCAAATTTAGTAGCAAAGAATTCACAAATCATATTAAAAGCTTAAACTCATAACTCAATTTCAAAGGCAATATATTTTAATAGAAGCAGCTCATTACATGCTGGAAGTTGTTGGAAGGATGGAGTGGACTTGTATGTTAGAGAATCCCGACAAATATTTAACCCACCCACATGTCTCATATAGTAATACAAGTGAGGGAATATTTGCAATTTGGTGTGATTAAGAAAAGATTTCTAATTTCTTCAATGGGTTATTTACACTAACACCCTTCATGAGGGTTCAAAAATTATAACAACACCCTTTAGGAATGAGTTGTGTTTCAATATAGGCTTCGAAAAGCTTACACATTTGGAGTCGCTTAGGGCCTATCTGTAACGTTTTCATAGAATGTTTTTAGAGAATATTTTTTAAAAATCAAAACGAGAAAACAATTTTGCATTTTCAAAATTCGAGCTACAAAAAGCAAGCTAAATCCTTGTATCAGTTTTGTGAGCTGCATAATTAATGTATGTATGTGGTTAATTTAATTGATAATCATATTTCAGTTTCGCTGTAATATCTGTTGCATAATCAAATTGTAGAAAAACGGCACAAAGATCACTTTTTGCTTAGATGGAAATACTGATCTTCTTCTCTTGCTTCTTGTTAATCAAAGCCGCCATGTTGATAATGTTGGAGACTGAAGGTTTTTCACCCAAGTAGCCATATGTTGTGCTGTATGAACTTGATTTTTTGTTTGATGGTGTGGTGTTTTATTTACTTTTGTATTTTAACAGATGGGGTGTTGTTTTATTCAGTAGCGACGTTTTTGTCATCCTTCCAGAGATTGTTGACAAATATTTGGTCAGGCGAGAAGACAAGTTCTTCATGGAATTGTAGCAATTAATTGTATTTGTTTTGTGAATTTTCATATCCCGGCCAATAATGCTAGACTCGATGAGGTTTTTTATTTATGGTAAATGGTTTTCCCACTCCCATTTTATCCACCTACACTCCTTTTTGTTTAGAAAAATGGAGTGTAAGTGGATAAAAAAGGAGTGGGAAAATCAATACCATTTTTAATTTATCAAATAATGTGTCAAATTGTCAACATACATGTCATTCTCATACAGAGCAGTGAGCCAAATAGATCTCAATTCATATATGGGTCCTTGTTTAAGTCAGATTAAATAAACGTTAAATATGAACACCAAAGCGTAAGCGCTAATCAGTTAATACAATGTTAGCTACTTGTTTGGACACTCTTGACATTTTTTTTATTCATGATGTAAATTATAAAAAAAATCATATATGAAATGGACTTTAGAAACACACCTAAAGCTCATTTTTTTTTGGTGAAGACACCCAAAGCTCATTTACAACATAACAAAAATACTTTTAACTTCTTTTAAATTACAAAACTGCCATTGATTTCTTAAAACAAACAAACCCTAAAATCTCATAAAAAAGCCCAAAACACTCAATAGGGCATGAAAGTAATTTAATAATCAAAATTAAATTCAATAGGGCCAACTGTCATTTTTTGAGTTTTTTTTATAGAAATTAAATGGTGCATGGTTTATTTATAATTTTAGTGCTAAGAATGGGTATTTGATTAAATATCTCATAAATAAAACACAATGTTGTTGATAAACAATAAAATGTTCTAAGGCAATGATAAAATGCCTAGACGGTTTCAGATTTTACAAGGATGATATTATAATGAGGAGCAAAAACTGTTTCAACACACAAGCACTGTCGCAGTCGCAATCAACCAAAACGTGATCCAACTCATGACTAAATCAACGGTAGGTAATTGTGATTTTAGAATATTAGAACTTGGTGACGACAGACTTCCATGACATAAAATATTAAAACTTGCACATCTTCCTTTTTTCTTTTTTTTGACTCACGTGCACTGTGCACATGGGCTGGCAAACCCAACAAGTTGGGCACACTTGGTCGTCATTCTCATCTTTGTTTCCTCTCTCCTTGTTTTTGGCAGTTCTTCTACTTCTACGCTACAGGTATAATACGCTTTTCCCGTTTGATTTCTTTATTTTATTTTGTGGGTATCTTTGTAATTCTGAATACTTATTATATCATCCCATTCTTGATTTGTATTTGCTCAAAATTGTCGCAAAAAATCTTCAAATTACTAACAAAATTGAACAAGTTAGCTTCTGGGTGTTACTTAAATGTTGTTAGATTGTTGATTTGGGAGACTTTGTTCCCAACATTTCATATGTATTTCCAATTTTCTATTTGTTCATCACTGTTTGTTTCCCTTACTAATCACATCTTTTAATTTAGTCCCGAGTCTAACTTTAAATGGCGTTATGTTTTGACAAGAAAGTTGGGTCTTTTCCATGTGTTCTTCTTTGTTTAGTTGCTCGAGTTTAATCACATTTTCATCTCTCGATATTACGCGGGATATAATCTATAATGTGTTTCCTTTCCTCTGAATCAAATCAAGGGCATAACTTATCTGCACTTGGAATTGTGAAGGCTCATTTTGTTCTCATGCTCACTACCTATATGAGGAAAGTCCTCTATGGATTGCATCATGGAGTGAGAGGAAAAAAATAAATTTAAAACATGTGAATATTGCATCGTAGCTAGGTTCATTTTAAGCATGTCAATATGCATACGAACCATGATATCTTTACAATCAATCTTGCTGTACTTGTATATTTCTGATTACGTCATTACTTGGATTTCTTGCTGCTTGTTTTGAAGCAATGTTATGCAAAACATGGCTTTGTTAGTTTAATCCAACACTTATTTGAATTTTCCAATGCACATGTATCTGGCGATCAGCTTTTCATGTGAGTTGTGCTTTGTGATAGGAACCCTCTTCTATTTGAGTGGTAAATTTTGTTTTACTTATAGCTTAATAAATATACTAATTTATGTTTCTATACAGAAGAAACAACAAAGTCAAAATATTTCCATAACGTTTTGAAGTTCTTCTCAAAAGCAAATCTGGTGCCAAACAAAAGAAGATGCAATGGGAGCCTCCAGTGGACCAAGGCTTTCTGGGATGCAGAAACAAGTCCTCAGTCTATACAGAGGGTTTCTGAGGGCAGCCCGTGCAAAATCTGCTGAAGATCGACAGCAGATTGAGTCACTTGTGTCAAGTGAGTTCCGCCGCAATGCCAAGGAGGTAGACCGCAAAAATTTCCTTTACATTGAGTACTTGCTTCGCCGTGCTAAGAAACAGCTTGATCAGCTCAGGAGCCCCGATATTGTTGGATTATCAGCCCTGAATGTCAGTTTTTCGCAGACAAAACATCCTACAAATTGAAGTAAGAATTTCATCTATTCTTCTTATTTACTTGTCGAGCCAAATTTAGTTTGATCCATCGTTTAAACAGAGTAACAGAGGGAAATAAATTTTTGGCTAAAATTTCCATGTTACTATAAAATTTCAATGTAAGCTATTCAGAAAGCTCTAAATTGTGTGATTCATTGATTGTCGTGGTCTTCTAAGGCTATGTGTATTGATTATCTTCCGGATAATGATAATAATAGCTTATTGGACATTGTTGATAGTTTCAAGTCCTGTTTTCTGTGTTGCTTATTGTTCGTTAGAGGATAAATAAAGACCAAAGATTGATTTGTGACAAGTTGCGATAGAAGATTGTGGTTTGTTTGATGGGAATGGTAAGCAAATATTACTTTCGAAGACGGATTAATAAAATGATACATAGAAATATAATTCAAAGTTGCATTTAGTATTAACAAACTTGAAATAATAAAAAATATCCTGCGAATGTGCCTCCCCATCGTCCCCAACTTAATGGCTCACTAAAGCAAGACCCAAAAAACAAAACTGCAACAAACTAAGAAATGGAGAAGACAATAAAGCCCAGAAGAGCAAACAAGGAAAAGAACCCAACAAGAAGGGAGTGGACTTACATGCATAAGACAAGTACACAGAGTTTGTTCACATTTTCACTACATCACTTGCTTCTGAGTTCAGAGAACCCAAGATATAATTAATCACCCACATGTCAGTCTGATATAGTAATCTAAGTGAGGGAACACTTGCAATTTGGTGTGATTAAGAAAAGATTTATGGAGCACCAGAATCCCCTACAAAGTTGAAATGGTCACTGAAATTATTTTGAATTCTGCTATAGTTATGTCACTCTCTACTCTAATTTTGGAATGCTATCTACTGATTTCCATTTAATTATGTTTTCAACTCTATTCTATGTCTTGATTTCAACTCATATCAGTCACCACACCAGAAATCCTCTCACAAAATTTTCTTAGAGAGATGGTAAGGGCAATTCCATTTCTGATCATATGATTTTGTGATTAAGAAGATACAGTAGAAGAGCAAATATGGCCTCAGCTGCAACCGATCTCTTGATTGGCAAAGTAGTAGGCATTCTTGAGAGCGAAGCATCCTCCATAGTAGGTGTTCGTGATCAAGTTGATGAGATTAAGCAAGAGCTTATAAGCATGAAATCCTTCCTAAAGGATGCTGAGGGGAAGAAACCGCAGACAGAAGGAGAGGAGACATGGGTAGCTAGCGTGAGAGATTTGGCCTATAATGTTGAAGATATCATTGATGAGTTCATGTACCACATGCATGAGCTGCAGAGTGGGGTTAGATTTGCAAGCTTGCTCCGCAAAACCATTTGCTTTCCAAACCATTGGAACAGAGGTCGATTTGCAAGGTGGCTCCACAAAACCAGACACAACCCAAAGTATCTTTGGTATAGGAGTCAATTTACAAGGTGGCTCCACAAAACCATTCACATTCCGAAGTATAGGGGTCGATTTGCAAGCTGCCTCCACAAAGCCTTTCGCATTCCAAAGAAACTTTGGTATAGGCGTCAAATTGGCAAAAAGTTACAGAAAATCACAAAAACCATCAAAGACATTACAGAGAGGAATCAAAGATACGATATTGATCCCCTAGAAGGA